TGAAGAAATCCCTCATATTCCTGAAGCTCAGTTCTGGGAGGTCTTCCAGAATTTCTCTCCTGGTAAAGCAGAAGACAGTGAAATTTCAAGGGCCTGGGAGAAAGAGAAGAATCCAGTTAATCCAGTTATAGCTCTTTGTTCTAGTTTATAAAAACAATTTTTCATCCTTCAGTTTCAGTCAGTCTCTTCTAAATAACTACAAATATGTTACATCTTTTCCATTTTTTCTCCTCAAAACCTCTAGGTACAAGTTCTATCCATAATTCTCCAAGGACTAGTAGAATTGGTAGAACTGAATAATAAAGGTCTAGAAATGTAGACAACAGGATAAATTATCTCAAATTAATTTATATATACTGTAGCAAAAAAGGCTTGGTCTTGTAAAGGAAATAATGCACACTGAACAAAATTTTACCTTATAACTCTGTAAGTATGAAGAAAAACAGTTCCTTAAAGTCAGTGGGTTAATATTCTTTGCTCTCTGGCTTGCTATCTCATCATTCAGAAATTCAGTTTTATGTACATTCCAAACAGATCTATTTGTTCCACAAAAATTACAACTCTCCTGAAAATAAAAATCTCTGCTTAACTAACAATTTTTCCTATTTTATAAAATAAACACTGATGAATTACCTCCGATACGGCCATGATAAAATGTTCCAAAACTTTACTTCAATTATACAATGAAAATAACCATTTTTGATACAGTATTCAAAGTGGGGGGGGGGGGGAAACCCCAAAATTAATAGTTTTAAATACAATTATTCACTGTTGAAAAAGGTGAAAGGTAGACAAAATGAGACTGCATACCAGTTATAAGGGCAGGAAGACTTCCTGGAATATGAGAGGGAATGGAAAAAGTGGTAAACAAGGGAGTTATAGACAGATGAAGGCACTTTAAAGACCAAAGAACCTTTGTTTAATTATAGCAAAAATAGCAAAAAAATCCTATCCCATTTCCACTAGGATTTGGGCCTAGATTAATTACCACTTAAGTCATAGCAGTATCAATTTAAAAAACACTAGGTAGCAAGTTTCATTTAATGTCATCTACAAAAGGATTTAAGATGACAAGAAAAAATACTTACAAGGGTAAGATCTCTCTTTCCGAAGTTTTCAGTTCATGAGTTCTTGTAAGCATCACCAACTTGCCTCAGACTCCTCTATTTCAAGATTGCAGACAATATCTCAGTCGCCACTGCAGTCTTCAGCAGCCTCATTTTTCTTGACATTCTTTATCCGACATAAAATGACCAAGTGTTCATTGAACACAATAGTGTTCATTTCCTGCCTTTGACTTCCTACTAACTGCTAATTTTCCCTTGATCCAATACTCCTAGGTGTCTTAAAATTATTTCATACAGCTATTCCACTTAGCAACAATCTGACATGCATCCTTATCATGGTGGTACTTCTCTGAAACTTTCCTCTCTCTGGATGGTGAATAAATCCAGATCCTCTTTGGGGTTTTAGATATACACACAAGCCCAGGGAATGACGATGTACTGGAATGTCAGATAAAGCAAAGTGTAGGTGAGCAAGAGACCACAAGTAATTGTGCAGCACAACTTAACACTAGGAAACAATGTAGCTCTTCAGGAACTCAGGGAAGAGGAAGGCCTACAAAGAGCACATCTGCAGCAACTTGCAATAAATATAGGATTTGCAATCCAGTGCAAAATTTCCTTGTCCACATTAAGTCTACGAAGAGTGAGCATTCACATGGTATATCTTATCTCATTAACAAAAACCCCTCTGGTGCATTTGCAGGGAGGAGATTCATTTTGACACAAACTAATATGCTACAAACACAGAGAGCTTTCAGGAAAACTGCCCTGACAGTAATTGGCATTTGTTCTGACAGCACATGTTACAGCACTGCTGTTTCATGCAGGAGGTTAGAAGTAAGCCCAGAACAATTTTCCCACACCTCCAGTGTTTGGATTTCTAAGGAGGCTGATACAGTATGATGAAATAAGATTAAATATCTCTAGCATTTTTCATGAGGAGGTAAAATTTAAAAAAGAAAAAAATATTGAGAATAACACACCATCATCTGGTACAAGAAACCTAAGGTTTAAAATCATCGTCCTCCTAATTTAGGCCAGAAAATCAAAACTGAAACTACTGTATTCCAGCAGAGGCCAGTATCTACCCCCTCTGAAATTTTCTTCAATTACAGTTTTTCCTCTCCTGGCTTGGTTTGACAATTAAGTTTTATCTTGCTGAAAATGTTACAGCATTCTGCTTTTATTGCAAACTGGAAACTAATGAGACATTACCAGTTTACACTTTCATCATACTGATGGAAAGTTTGAAAGAACATCCTTAACATTTAACATACTCAATTCCTACATTCAACAACTCAATATATTCTAAATGAAGGAGTCTATGTGTTAAAATTAGGTACCTCAACCCATACTAAACCATCAAAACATCTATCAGCCATTATATACAGACCCAAAAATCTATTTATGGCATTCAGATTTGAATGAGAAGTAAATTAGCATTTTCATCCATGTGATTTATATCTTCTGACGCTCCTTAAAAAGTTTCCCAAACAGTTCATTGATGTCTTTAGCAGAGCAAAAAGACTCCCATCACTAGAACAACTATGTCACACAATTGTTATACAAGATTAAGGGCTCTCTCAGTTGTCATAAAGCTAAAATAAACATGGCTTTCCTCCAAGCAAATTTCGTATTTGACGAAACTGCAAATGTGTTTAAAAATTACCAGGATGTACCATCAGATTACCTAATCAGCACAGATTTATTATTAATGGCATTGTTAATAATAAGAATTTACTGTTAATACTTAATAATTCTTTGACTTTTTTAACTACAAAAGAACCTAAAATAAAAGCATTATTACTTTCAACTGTATAAATTAGGATCCAAGTGACTTAGAACTGCAGTAAAAAAGGTCTCAATTAAATTAAGAAAAATACAAAAATCAATAGTGAAAAGATGGCAATAAATAAAGGTGTTTAACAGACAAACCAATGTTCATGTAACACCAAGAAATGAGATCTAGAGCAAAAATCTGAAGTAAATACAGAATATTATCGAAGTAAATATAAATACACTAACAGTGTAAACATTTTTGATAGGAAAATTCTGCAATTCTGTGTTTATTTCTACATAAATTACTGAAGTCCAATTCACAGTGTTAGAGTCCTATCATTTTATTACAGGATTTTTGATGTGCTTGATAAATACAATGTCCTCATTTCATTTATTCATTCTAACTTGAATGCACCACTCAGTGTAACTTAAACAAATTAGAAAGATTCAAATCAAAAAACTATTTAAAGGAAAATCTTTGAAAGTTTTTATATGTCTCTGGGGGAAATAACTGCTGTTAGCACTTAGCCATGACCACTACTATAGTGAAAGAAAAAAAACCCTTCATTTTGCTGTTTTTCTTATTATATAGATACTAGTTCTTAAATGAGCTTTCAGAATACAGTTTTCTGAGCTTCATACATTTCCCCCATCTATCTTTTATGGTTGAAAGTTTTCACATTTTGTCTTTCTTCACCAAACACTTACAGGAACAGCTATACTCTCCAATATGACAGTCCTGACAAAGTGGCAAATACATTAACAATCATCAGGGTCTCCAAATGTAAGTTGGTGGTAAAGACAAACTTATTTACCATTTTAATTAAATGGCCTATTTAACATGGAATATCAATTCTCTAATCACATCTCATTTGAACTTCTTATTTCAATTAACAACCCTAAAGCCTACTAGAGACCCTACGGTTCTAGGACTATTAAGAACATTTTCATGATCTGTCAAATGAGGGAGTAAAAGGCAGAAACTGCAAATACTCTCAGGAGTAGGCCTCTACCCTACTTAGGAGATGATTAGGGAGAAAGCAGCAGTAGTTCTCATTAGTTGCTTAGCAATGAAATGTCCCACTATGAAACAAGAAATGAACAAAGCAACAGAGGCGTTGCCATGCAAATGAATAAATGTCTATCATCCACTCAAGGATAATCTGTCCTTCATTAAAACTAATCTGGATTAGTACACCAATGGATATCTTGCAAAGATAAGGTAGGAAGAATCCACAGTATGTAGCCCCACTGAAGTAGCCAGACAATACATTGCTCAAGTTTTTATACGCAACGATTTAATTTTTACTGTATGTGTCTATGATAAACACAAGTACAAGGAAAATAGTTTTAATTCAAACCAGATTAATACTGTCATTTTTACTGTTAAACCTTACCTTTTATATCCATAATTATACCCAAGTTAAGGACTTACTGTTAACAGTTAGTCGTTCTCTTAATGCTTATAACAACTTATATACAAATCTGTAATCTTAAGATTTAACCCACATCTAAGTTATTTATGTTTTCAAAAGTATATTCACACATAAAGCCACAAACCCAACACAAATGAAGTTGTTGACACTACCATTATTAATAATGTTGTAAGTCTCATAAGAGCTCCTAACCAGAGAAATTTGATTGCTGTTGTCTTAATTTTTCACACCCTAATTCCAGGATGCCATTATTTCAGTCAGAGATGCAGTTTAATAGGTTCCCTTTATTTCAGCTTCCCCACAACTGATTTAAAAATATTCATGTTTCATGGGTTATTTTTTTTGTTTCAGTGGGTTTTTTTCCTGAGGGGCAGGAATTTGTTGTTTTGCTTTGTTGTTTTGCTGCTGGTGTCCAGTTCATATGTACAATATAAAGATTAACAAAAAAACATGAATTAGAAGAGAAAGGGAAAATAAAACAGTGAACATTTTCACTGAGCAGAAATCAAGATGATTCCATAACTTCACTGACTACCTAAAATCTGGTTGCTTCTCAGAATATATTTGAAGTGATACAGATTTATAATTACAAAAATTTATGATAAAATTAATGTATCAAATTATGCTTTGATTAGTTCATCTAAACTGCTAGAGTAAAATGAAAATGATGTTTCAAAACCAATACTAATTCATAATTCAGTATTAAGATAAATCTTACCTATGTATTCACAAACGAAGACTACAAAAAAAGGAGTAACAAGATCATTTATGCCCTGAACATATCCACTGGCTGGATGACGTATTGCCCAAATAAACAAAATTCTTTCAAAGATCTGAAAAAGAGTTAAAGAAACCATCAATTTATTTTAACAAGTGATAAGCACATTTTAAACAAGACACTTGTAAATTATCATAACATCATAGAATTATAGAATATCCTGAGTTGAAAGGGACCCAACTCCTGGCCCTGTGCAGGACATCCCAGGAATCACTCTATGTGCCTGAGAGCATTGTCCAAACACTTTCTCATCTCTGTCAGGCTTGGTGCTGTGACCATTTCCCTGGGGAGCCTGTTCCAATGTTCAACCATGCTCAGAGTGAAAAATCTTTTCCTGATCCAACCTAAATCTCCCCAGATAAGCTTTGAGTCCTGTCACTGGTCATGAGAGTCAAGAGATTGGACATTCCCATCTCCCTTCCCTCGTGAGGACGTTGAAAACCTCTTTGCAGATAAATATCATGGAGTTAAGTAATATAAAAAACATGCATACAGCAGCATAAATGAACACTGGTATTCATAACCCAGTGCTACATAAGCTTCTCAATTCTTCAAAGGGAAGCATTTTCAGGGTATTAGCACATATTAAAACCAACCTAGTATATAATTCAGTTACAGTAGTTAATACAAAGTAGCTCATATTCACTGGAGCTTTTCCAGTAATAAAAAATTAGTCTTTTCTCAAGGGAAAGAAATATTAAATGATCTTCCCATCATTTTTCATCTCTTTGAATGAAGTATTCTACTAATGCAATATTCTATTTATCCCTAAGTAATAGACAGAAGGACTTGATATAGTTTAGATTTTTTAATAGCATGCCCATAAAAAGAGATTCCACAACAGTTAAGCTTGCCTAACACTGCAGTGTGGAGCTTTACACTTCAGGCATCTGCATACTAACTAATGAAAAACCTGAAAAAACCAGGAAATGTAGAATTAAGGCCACTGCCTGCCATATCACAGAACCTCACTTTCTCAACTCTGTAAACTGAAGCTTGCTTAGGATCTGCAAAAGCTTGTGAGGCCTTACCATATCTCAGCATGAGAAGACAAAAGAGAGCAAGGAAATGAGAGAACTATTTTCTTACTCCATTTAGGTCTGTGACAGGCTGTATTTTCTCTCAATTACTTGCTTCTGAAGATATCACATGCCTTTGAAAGACTGCAAATAAGCAGCAGAGTGAAAGTGCTACATGCTTTGTCCTAACAACAGGCACACAATCAGGAATATATAATCTTCTGAAACAAAAGAATGTTTGCTCATTCATGAGAGCCCAAACTATGTTACTCTTCAGATCTGGCCTCAATACTAAAAAAAGGAGACATTTTGGAAAGACCCAAAGGATTCTGCGGTTTGCTGCAACTCCAGAAGTCAATGAATGCTCAGGCTTCAAGAAAGCCAGTGAAAGATCTGCCTTGAAAGAATCCAATAGGTGAAGGAAGTTTATTTGTGAAGTCAGGATTGTTTATATTCAATCTCACTTTAAGTTTCTGTTAGATTAAGAAGCTGACTGTTTTAATTCCATTTTAAATAAAATCTCATTATTTAGCTTAGAAGTCCTACTGCAGTAATTTTTAAATAAGGAAAGGTCTCAGCATAAAGGACTCACATCCTGGTACTTGAAATTCCCATCACAGGCTTCCACCTGAAGCCAAAATACATTTGCACCTTCTGCTTTGAAAACAAGTCTCAAATATCAACATCCATCCTTCCCCTACAGGCTTTCTTTTGAGAGTCAACTCTCCTCCAGGTTTTATGTTTCGTTGGCTGAAAATTCACAGAACAGGGGAGACAGTCATCAACATTAAGTACAAAATGTTTTGGTGGGCACTGAAAAACAAGCCTTAAGACAGCTCACATTTGATCCATTACAATCACAACTGAGATTTAGTTTTTGCCCAGTGTGATGTCAGAGATCAGGCAAAAAGGAAAGTATTCATCAGCAAATCCTCCATAGAAGCCTCTTGTTTCCATTAGCCAAGATGCTCACTCCTTTAGCTACAAATTCTTGGTACTAGTCTGGTCACCTCATAAATTTTAACAAGAACTGCATATTAAACCAAAATAAAAAATATAACCTCTGCCCTTTAAGGAATAGCCAATGGTGTTTCACTGTCTATCAGTAACTGTATAAAGATTTTACACTCGGACATTTACAGCAAGCTTTTACATTTTACATAATCATACCCTGATGAAATTACAGTTATTTATGTGATATTTTTAATATTACTGGAAAACTGCCAATCTAGCAAGGTTATTTAGCTCACAGCCACTCTGTCTACTCCTGTCCATTACCACTTCTACTGTCTACAACAGTAGTTTCTCACTATTATCAGAGTTATCATTCTATATTTCAGTTCTGAAAAATGACACGTTTAACATAATGCAAATACAAAAAAATTTCTCAAAAAACAAACACCAGAACGAGCTGAGTAGAGAAACCTATTAAAGTAGCAACTGCAGAATGTAGAACAGGATTATGCACTAGGCTAAATAAAAAACTCATGTATGATGGGGCTACAAATTAAGCACAGTTAACAACCAATCAAAAAAATCACAGCAAATCAGAAAGAACAGTCAATCAAAATACCCATTGCAGAAACTATAAACATAGTGTTTTTTCATGAAGGCATGTCTGAAGTCAAACAATTCACAAATTTGTACCACCAATCTTTCATTTCCTCAGAACCTGATAAGATACACAGTTTGCAAAGTCAATGGATTTTAAAATGTTTTTAAAATCCAGGTATGAGGGAGGTGGTGTTTGCATTTTCTGGGGGGGAGTGTTATATTTTTGAGCAGGAAGCACCACTTAGTGATGGCACATCAGCTTTAATATCCCCAAATGTTTCCAATCAGAAATTAAACTACACACTGAAATTGCATTTTCAATTTCCTACCCATTTTCGTTAAGTTTCATTCACCGTTCTGAATTGAAAAAAATGAGCACTGGAAACCTGAACAGCAGACTGATTTAAGTTTCTACGCAGCACTCATGACTGTGTTCAAATAGGACTCACTAAAAAGGTCACTTTCCCAAAAGGATCCCTTCTTGATTTCCAAACCAGAAACAAAAAGTGGAATTATTTTCCAACTATGAACCACTACATCTCATGAGATGTCATTACCAATTTATTATTCTCTTTTGAATTTGATTCTCATTCATAATTACAGCAAGAATTATATTCATATACATAAAGAAAAGAATCCATCAGCTTAAATGAAGGTTCAAATTACTTGTGGGTTTTGCCACCTCAGAGGAATTTCAAAACTTCCAAAGCCTTAATTCAAAAGCTTTTGAAATTTTATTTTTTGTTTTCTAAGTAGGGGAGGGAAAGAAAAAAAAGAGAGAGCAGGACAAAATTATAAACTATTTTAAATTGTGCAGTTTTCTTGGAATTATTATGTATAATATGCCAGCATAGATGGGAAATAGCCATGTGCTTTCCATTTCAACAAAATTCAGTTAAAGACAAAGCAAGAAAAGATAATAAATTAGACAAGTCCTTATTAGCTAATCAAATTTATTGCAACTAAATAATAAGTAGTCTTTAAAACAACTTGACTGCACTATATGAAAGACCACCTCCAACTCCTCTGCTCTCCTCTTTCAGGGACACTATTAAGTCATTTTCAGCCCTTTAAATCCTTGCTCCACCATTACCTTCCCCTCTCTCAGGATTTATATAACTCCCATAAAAAATAAACACTTTAAACTTATTTTAAAAGGAACACATAATAACTAGTTATTTCTGCACATCAGATCCAAACAATCTTTTTTTCTAAACTGCAACATTTTATTACAGAAACCAAACTCTGAGTTCAGATAAGAAATTAAACAGTCTTATTAACGCTAATTAAAAGTTCTTTGGCAACAGAGACTCTGATACCACCAAGAACAGCAAAAATCTTGGAATAGCAGCATTTGGAAATTTAAGTCAGGAGACTAAGGTTTATACATGTGCTGTCTTTCTGAAGCCTGAACCAGTGATTTTGTCCAGTTCCATCAATTACAGTCTCTTCACCTCGCTCTATGTGAGATTCTTCCCAGTAGAGGTATAATTACTCTAAATCTTTGCAGCATCAGAAGTACGTACAAAACTTGCCATGATATCCACAACAATGGTTTTGCACACAGTGTCATCCTTTAAAACCTGTCTTTGACCCTTACTCTGATTCCCTTTCTGCTGTACAGCCATTTGCTATCTCACCTTAAAAAGGGGAGAGTGACTGTTGCTCACCAGAGACCAGCTCTGGGAACAACACACCCTATCTACAGGAGCCCTTGGGAGAAGAGAAGGAGCCCTGTGGGGCTGAGGGATTCAGTGGTGCTATGGTAGGTCTCCAGAAACTCAGAAAGCAAGAGAAATAAACACTGGAGAGATTGAGTGGTATGACCTTTTCAGCATGTTTTGTACAATGGCACTAAGCAAGTAGGGTTTGGTTAAGATCATAGAGAGATGCAAGCCCATTCTCCCAGAAGCCCACTGGTCTAAATAATTTCCTTAATAGTTTATTTCTTACTGGTATTGCTTCGTTCTTGTTCCTTCATTTTACTTATACTACTCGATTCATCCCTAGAACAGCCCAGGTAAAACACCACTGTGTAGAAAGCAGGTGGAAAGCCCAATATTTATAGGTATTTCTTTTGAAACACTGTACTAGCCTATTTCTTCAAACCAATTCTCCAATGTGTTGAGGAGTACTGCCATTAAACAAATAATTGGAACAATGGAAAACCAAATGAAAGCTAGTTCTGCATTTATGTTCTCATAATGAACTACCAGATTATGTTCTATTTGGATCTGTAATTGTATGAACAGAAGCTACATGGAAATACATTTGAAGGTCTAACTAGAACCACTAGAAAGGAGAGTAAGTTGAAGAATTAAACTAAATAATTGAAAGAGGATAATCCACACCATCTATGCTATTTATAATCTATATGCTTCAAAATGAAAAGTCCCCATGAGATTCAATTCCCCAACAATAAAGGGCAGTGTGATTAATATATTTACCATTAATCACATTTACTCACATATATTTACATTAATTATATAGTTACAACAGTAGTAAAACAATTTAAATAATGTACTCAATATACAAAACTTACAAGGAAGCAAAATCAGACAAGGCATTCAAACCAGTTGTGCTACACATTCACAAAAGAGAATTTCCCAAGTGGAACACTCTAAGAACTTCCAGACCTTAAATGATTTTGATAAACACAATGATTTTGATAATCCACAGAGCTATGCTCTGGATTACTTTAAAAACACAGTATTAACAAAACATTTAAAAAGGAGAAAAGGGGAAAAAAACCCTCAAGGGCACAAGACCAAATTAATAACTGACAGATTCAACACAGGAAATGAATGAGATGCCTTTGCTTTTATTACTCATACTTACACTGCTATTCTTAGCCTCTACTTACATATCTTCATTTTTTTTACTTCTTTAAGCTAGTTCTGAAGTCAAAATAGCAAATGCAATCAAATTAATTATTAATCAAATTGATACCAGATTCATTAATAAAATGTTTTCTCAAACAAAAAGAAAATACATCATTCTTACCTCTGTTACTTTGGGCTGAAGTCTTAAAACTTCAGGACTCATGCGTGGTATATCTATGTGGATCTAATTAGACAAAGAAGAATACCGTAAAAGGAACCAACAGCACACTTTCTAAACAACATAATACTTAAAATCATTCCATTGGTTTACACTATTAGTTGTAATCCCATTTTTTCATTACTTTTGGGATAACATAGATTTTTACTGTATTTAAAAACATACAGCCAAATTTCTAAGTTAATCTTTCAATGAAGCAAAATTTAAAAACATATATTTGTATTCACATTCTTAGATGCTTACATCACATTTTAATTATTTGCAAATTATAATCATATTGGCAGTACTCATTACCTCAGGGTAATTATGAGTAAATACATACGACTACTTCTGTAAAGTCATATTCAACTGCCACTATCAGAGAACCATTTAGGTTAGAAAAGACCTGTAAGAGCATCAAGTCCAAATGTCCAAAGGTAAAAGCAGAGTCTAGCACCTATTTTAACATATTTGACAATCAAGAAGAGAGCATAAAAATACATGTATTTCTAAAATTTTTATTCCAGACTTCACAAAGGAGTTTTGTGCAACAGAGTGCTCAAGCACTGAGATGATGACAATGATTTTGGGTTCCCTTCACAAGCCTTATGTTAGTGATGCTATATACTTCTTGCTACTAAAGATTAGTCTTGAAACTGAAAGGAAGTTCTTAGCTTTTTCTGTCCCAAGGAAGGCTAAAGTACCATTGCTTAGTGTTACAAACTACTCATTTCAATACAAAACTTGAAGAAAAGTTATCTGCTTATCTGAGTGAGCAGGAAAGTTTGACACCCCTACATTAATTGTACATCATATATAGTTTCAACTTCTTAAGCAGAAGTTGAGAGCCATTAAGGAACAGTCACTGTTGTACTCTCCCTGTCCATCTTCACTTACTTGAAAGAGGGTCTGAGCAGGAGATGAAAGATTTGAAAATACAACTATTTTTAAACAGAAAACCATGGCAACACTAACACTGACATTAAAGGAAATCCACTATTTCGAATTTCAGATCAAAACTACTTCATATTTTTGCTTCTAAAATTCATGAAAATTATTAGAGGGTTGTCTATCTAGTAATATTAAAGAAACAAAAACAGTAGCAAATTTCAAAAATAATCTCTAAGTGCTTTAGCAAGTATTCTATAGATAAAAGTCAATTCAATAAGTATTCTACCTGTCTGTAGGTATCTTGGTGGTTTTCATCATTTCTGGAATCATAGTATTGTTCAACAAATGCAAAATACTCTTTGCGTTTTCTTTGTAAAGTGCTTTCTCTTCGGTCCACATTTGCAGGAAGATAACCCTGAAAAAACAGTGAAATGAGAAGGATATCACACTTTCCCTTACAAAAAGCACTGCTGGCATTTGATTACATGTGACAGGAGATCTAATAAACTGATGTAGTGCCATGTACTCCCATACAAATCTAAATAATCCTTTACTAAACTATTTTTCTAATCACTCTAACCAGTACAAAAGTTCAGATACAGGCACCTTATAAAAATAGTTGCTTTTTTTTTTTTTTGCCTTCTCTTTTTCTTCCTACAAAACACAATTTCTCATCAAAAATACTATGATGGAGTTAACTTTTGAGGCAAAAAGCTTAAATAAGTAAGTTCAGGCAAATTTAATACTATGTGAGTTCCTTAATTTCTACGTGGCCAGTACTGGAGCAATTCCATTAAATTTTTAAACAATGTCTATTAACTCAGTTGCCCCCAAGTAGGAATTATATACATTAGCAAGGGAGGCATAGATTCAAAACTAGGGAAAACTTCATCATGGAAAGGATTATCAAGCATTGGAATAGGCTGGCTGAGGAAGCGGCTGAGTCAGCATCCCTGGAGGTATTTACAAGACATGCAGATGTAGTCCTTAGGGACATGGTTTAGTGGTGGACTTGGTAGTGCTGGATTTCTGGTTGGACTAGACAACCTTAAAGGTCCTTTCCAACCTATACAGTTCTATGATTCTATATTAAAATCATTGAAAATGTTATTCCTGTTCACTTTAATTCCTTGGTTTATAATGACAACAGAATAAGTACAAGCCATATTACATTCCAGATACCTTAGGAGATACTTTCTTCGGCAAAACTAATTCCTTTAAGATACGCAGACTTGTGTCTGATACCAAATACTTTAAATCCCACCAGCTTCACTTTTGCCGAAAGACTTTGTCGGACATTTAATAGACTGTCCCAATATTTTGTGTTAAATATTGAACTCTGCTGCCCATTTATTCTCAACAGTTGTGGTTTCTTCCCTGTAGGATATCTTAGTTGGTTGCATTAGAAAATAATTCATTTTTGAGATCAAATGTGATTGTTTGAAGGACACCAACACTTTCTCAGCAAGTCTTTTTGCCATTATTCAATTACAAAGACTAAGCTAATCTTTCAATTCGACATGTCATGTTTCCTGTTCACTTTACAAATTGGGTTTTATTTTTAAAAGTTGGGAAGGCTTGCAACGTATCAGCAGCAAATAAACTGGTGGAGAGTTTAATCCATTTATTCATTAATTTCCTCCAAAGGCTTTTGCAAACATATCTTTAGTTTTGTTATTCAAAAGAGAAGACAGCCTGTATAGCTCTTCTTATTATTTATGTACAGTGTACTTAACATTTTTGCTCTATTTTAAAAATAAATTATGTCAGTAGACATGTATAACATCAACAGAGTATTAGACTGAAAAACTGTCTTCATCAAACACTGGTTAACAATATTAACCTGCTGACTATGTAGCAAATATATCAACTGATCAATTTCTTAAATAATATTTTTTAAATTCCAATTTCTGTGTCAGTTTTACAAACAAGACAGTCATCATTTGCCTCAGATACCACCAAGTGTACTCCATTCCCTGAAAAAAATTAAGTTTGGGCTTATTAAATAAGACTTTTAAATAATTTTGAAACAAACATATACTAAAACCATAACTATACTTTGGTTTCTTCAGCTTTCTGGTTGGTTTTTAGTATTGCAACTCATCTTTAATCAAAATATCACTTGATTTTTTAGGAACACTTATTTCCCCAGGAGCTCCTGGTGAACTGTATAAAATCATAAAATGGTTTGTGTTGGAAAGAACCTTAAAGATCATCTAGTTCCAACTCCCCTTCCACTAGACCAGGTTGTTCAGAGCTCCATCCAACCTGGCTTTTAATCCGGGAATTACCATTATTACTCCCCCTTGCCTGGGACATTAACAGTAGGTCACTATTTGGTTACCATCAGAAAAAAGCATGGTGGAGCTTACGACCACAAAAATTGGAAGTACTTTTCTTTCCCACTCAGAAAAGAATATGAAAGAAAATGCTGCCTTACAGTATAGTAAAGTAATGATTACTAAACTACATCTTTGGATTTCCAAAACATACTAAATAAGGACCACATAATAGATAAGAAATCACAGCAGGACTTACTTAAGAAAAGCTAAGAATTTTCAAAATACTGTCATTTGGAGGTAGAAAACACAAACAAACAAATAAAAATAATAATAAAAAATAAAATAATTTAAAAAATAAAATAATTTTAAAAATAAAATTAAAAAAATGAGCCAGATTTTTGTAGAACTCCTACTTGAAAAAAAATCCACTTAATTGCTGAAGTATAAAACAAGTAATCTGAAAGCAGGTTTTTGCAGAGGAATGGCAAGATGAAGTTGCAAACTGAACTGAAATAGATTCCAAACTGGAGTTGTTAAAGCAACAGAACAAGAGAACTCTACATTTAGGCATTTATTTAGATCAAGAATACTAAATCAAAATCAATTTATAGAATTAAGTTAAAGCTTCTGGAAAGCCTATGCTCTTGCTAGAAATCAGGAGGAGTCAGCTCATTTATATTTGTATAATTTGCATAATTCCAACTCTCTAAACCTCACTGTCAGTCTTCTGATGCAGAACTTAAAAAATACTTATGCTTTAGCTTACTATGTTTCAAAGTCAACTTTGAGTTAGCAATAATTTTTCTTACTTTTAGCACTTTAAAACAGATATCCTAAACTTCAAGGAAAAAAATGCCTTTTTTACTACCAAAATCACATATAACTTTGGAAACAGAACTAAACTAAATTGTAAGCTCCATGTTAATTTCAATTACAGCAGGGTATTTGAATATCCACCGTTAAGCTGCATCTGCATTTAGCATTAGAAGGAACGAAGTTGCACATTTAGTTTAGCAAGAGAGACTCTTTCAGTCACTGGAAATCAGTGTCAATCTGAAGTAAATACTTTGCATTCCCTACAGAATTATTCTATAAAAAGCAAAGCTATTTAAGTCTACTCTCTGAAAAATTCAATAGTGCTAAACTGCTGTGTGTATAATTCAGAATTTTAAACAGTACTTAAATGCACGAAGATTTGCTGAGAAAGTGTCTTTCACAGCCTCTGGAGAGTAGACATCACGAGAGTTCTGCTTCTTTTTAATACAAACATCCTCATAAACCTTCTTCCAACCACAGGCACACAAACAACAGCTAAAATGCTTAACTGTTTGTCATCACAAGCATTATGGCTGAAAAGACTGACATGAAAAATACCTCTATGAAGAATAACCTGTGTTTTTGCAGAACCTTTTTAAACATAGTGCAAACACCAAGATGAAAAAAATCCTGTTCTGCAACACCAAACCCAGTGAATCACATATCCCATGAGCTTCTCTCTGACGCCTAACTGAAACACCTCCATGTACTTCAGCTAACCTACTCACAAGCTACAGCTATTGCAAAATCCTCTGGCCACAGGGAAAAGATCAGATGCTCAGCCAGCCAAAAACTCGCACCACAAAAAAGGGATTAGCTTTTTAATGAGGTTGTCTCTCCAAACTGACGCACAGGTCTGACATCAGGAGAGCCAATGCCACAACTTAATTGACACGGTGGTTCAGAATTGTTCATCTTAAAGCACTATAGAAGAATCAGCCAAAGAAACCTACAGATCCTATCACTCCTTTTCCTCACTACAGTGTTATTTCTTTCTTGCAGTTACTTTAATGTGAAGTCAGAATGAAGTCTTCCGTAGGACACTGATAGTCTCTGATTCCCCAACTGTGCGTCTATTTTCAAGAAAACTGTCAAGAATGTACTTGTCTTTGAACTCTCTACCATTCCATCAAAACTGGTTCAAAGAAGCTACTGTTATCACAAGCCTTTCTTTCATAAAAAGCCAGGCTGAAAAATAAAGATACACAGCTGGCATGATTTACTACTACTTCTCATCCCCCTCCTTTCAATTTGATAGATTAATCTTGAAATTGAGTAAAAGAATGTAATTCCCATTACAATTCAGTACAAGACACGTTTCCAACCATCACTGATGAATTATGATTCATGCAAAATCATTTGCAATGCTTGAAAAGCTATTAGTACTAAATGCAGAGGAAGAATAAAATAAAAATAGAACTTACTGAAAGAAGCTTCCATGCAATTGGACGAACCCGTTTGGGAATGCCAGACCAACTCAATTTTCGTAATTCATCTATTAAAATACAATGGTTTCATGAGCAGCAAGGAAACTACTAACAATTTACATACACTGATGTAGTCAAATTAGCACAAAGGTGTTTACAACAATGGTCTTCTTAGAAAATTCAGTGAATAAGGTAATCCAAATGAATTAAAAAAATACTGGATAATTGCTATCCATAGGGACACCTATGGTAATAGGTATGGATTGTGATAAGGTAACTTTCTAGAGTATTTCTCAGCATTACTTTTTGGTATACATGTCTTATATTGTCTCAGTTGGCAATTTACTACATAAATGTATTATTCTTCCAAGTATTTTTGAGATACATATGAAAGGAATACAGTGTTCAAAGCAGGTAAAGTATTATTAAAGTCTACACAAAACAAGGAGCAGCAGCATATGCTTTCAAAAAACATCAAGAAATTCACAGTACTTCTGCACACTAAATATGCATGGATGGAGGACGTACAAAAGCATGCTTATACATATAACCCCAAGAAATTTCACAGTTCACAATAAATTTCTCCCTTATCCTTCATCTCAAGGAGTCGAGAAGCATTGGGAGAATAAAAAATGACCAAAGGATCAGTAACATTAGAAAAATATGACACGACTAGATTTCAGTGTGAACCAAAGTCTCAGAACCAAAGAAACAATGAAAGCAGAACTTGTACAGATTAAGAGATAAATTCAAAAAGTCATAGACTGGCACAACAAATACACTTCATTATGAGTATGCTTTCACTACAAGGATTCAATAGTAAAAAGATGCAAAAAGCAACTGAAACAAGTTTAACTCATTGTCATACTCCAACTGTGATCATCATGCATAAGCTGCCTGACAAAAACCCCAGACAGCACCTGTTTAACTTAACCTTGTTTCTCATTTTCTGATCTTCTTTTTCCAGCGCACTTCTACTTCCTTTCCTCTGCCCCCATTTAGCAAAACTCCAATTATTTCTTCCCTTCATGGTCACAGCTTTGCTAGTGCTATATACAAATTTGGTATTTCTGAAATTATTATCAGGCACCACTGGTCTTGTAACACTGCACTTCCCTAAATGATCCCAGTGCTTCTTTCCATGCAATGACACTCTTTGGGCACCTCTCACACAATTCCCCCTTCACTGCTTGTGAAATCCAGGCATACCATAGGGGTCTATCTACAACTTGTGTTAGCTTCTCACACTGTGGTTTGTTACAGACAGTAATTTCTCACATTGCCTACAGTAGTTCTCCACACCCCAGGAAGTTTGCTCAGCCTCCAAGCAGCTTCAGCATTGGCTTGCAGCCCCTACCACTTCTGCACCAAGCTTCAATTCCATCCACAATTTGATGCCAAGTAAATCCCCACTATACCAAGCACTACAGCATAAGTAACAGTATCACTGGTTTTATTCCTCTAAAAGCCAGAAAGGCAGGAACTGGTCAGAAGATGATGTAAAGGCAAAGTAAACATATAATATGAACAAGAGTAGAAAAACAGTATTTTATATAGTTTATGAACAAAAATAATCTTAAAAAAGAGATAATATCTGCCTTAGCTAAACAATCTACAAATTACATATGTATTTCCCTTCCACCCCAAAGCAAAGACAGTTAGCTCCAGTTGTTTTAATATCAATGAAAGTCCCACGTCTTCAAAAGCAAAATTTCCAACTGTAAATCTTCCTGCTCTACTCCTCTTTGTGCAGTATTTATGAACATATATGTTTTACTGGGTCTGATCTATTTGTGTCCAGGCTGAATGGGAACCAATCTTATGCATTAGTTTATTACTTCCTTACACAATCATTTTGCTCAAGTTTCAAGTTTTGGCTACCTTTACATACAACTGTACCATTTACAAGCCATATAATTAGTATATGAGGAAAACAGAAAATAAATTGTAACTTAGCAACTACTTTTATTATTTTCTAGCAACACAATTGTCCATTCTCAACTCTATGCCTACCAAACCCACTCTTTCACCTCCACCTTTAACTCAACTCTATAACAATACATGTCCAAACATGGGTACCAACCTCTAACAACAACTCATGTAAAGAAATGAAAAGTATAAAAAAGGAAAATATGCAGATCTACTGTCACAATCGGAAATGTGAAGCACTTGATTAAATGAGTGACAGATCATCCCAAATCACCCAGTACAAAAATTCCACTTTCTTTTAAGTCACTCATTTAAGGTCAAAGATAGGAAATTCACAAGCAAATTGGAATAGAGCTTATTTTTCCTCCCTCCCCTCCTGATGTTATTCTGCAATGAACATACATTTAATTTAATTAGGGATAGCTTGGACTACCACGTAATTCCAAACAATAACACACACTATGGGAGTAGGTTCAAAAGGACTGCTCTTTCTGGAAGGAAATCTCAGCACTGGAGACATGGAAGTAAAAGCCAAGGGCATATTATCTTTTTTTTACAATATAACACTTATTTGAAACAGATTCTCTATTTATCCATCATGTAGGATTTGGGAGTGAATATGTCCCTGCATTATTCCATGCTGAACACAATTATTTATGTTGCTTTGCCACTGCCTTATCCTCTCTGGAAGCTCTTTTTATGCCTAGATTGTCTGCTGGGCCTACAAAGTCTTTGGCAATGTTTCTTCTCCCAGTATATCTGAGAAAAAACATTTAAAGCTAATTTTTGTGGTTTTAAGTTTCTCAAACTCTCTTTTAGAAATGCTTCCATTCATTGGCCTGATAGATTCATATTCTGCTCTGCTCTCCTTATTTGACGCAGAACTTTACCTTTTGGACTGTATTTAATAACCTCCTCTACTCTGTTGTCATGCCATTCTTCTGAACTTTCTCAAGGCTTTTGCTTTGGTTTTGCTTTTGTAAGTGGTACAGTAATTGCTTTCAGGACAGAGAACTGTTAGACAGATAATTGCACAACAGAGAGTTAACACAATTCCATCACAAACCATTACCCCTGTCTATTTCTTCACACTGACTGCTGCTCTGTATCACAGTCTTCCAAAATTCCAGGATCTCAGACTAATGCAAAAAAAAAAATAAAATTCTGGCCCTAACTTTTCTGTACAGTGAGCTAACTCAACTACTATTTTCCCAGTGACAAAGAGCACACATTAGAACTCAAAGGGGCTATGCAAGAATTCTCACCAGTAGCAAACCCCAAAAGCACACAGTCTGACCCTAGCATGGCACTATTGCTAAAACATCAATTCACATTATGCTTTCCTCTGATGGTTCATCACCAAAACATGAGGAAAGAAAACAAAAGACCCTGTCCTTTCCAACAGTCACAACAGCAGGACAAAAGTTGCTCCTGGAAGACTTAGTCTAACACTACTATAACATAAAATAAAAATGCTTCTGGTGACAAGAAAAAAAAATTGAAGCATATACACAAAAGTACCATTTTAGACATACATAAAAGACTGTCAGTAAAACTAAATTCTAATACTGCTGTTAAAATGCATTAACTATATGTGCATTTTATTAGACATAGATAACTAAATTTTACAGCAAGTGTCTCTATTACAGTCTTTAAGATGGACTTTATTCTTACAAATGACTCAACAGGTGAATTCCTAAAAATCAAATAACAACACGCAATTGATAGTTCCCCACAAAATCCTTCTCTATATTGGAGAAAGAAATGGATTTGACGAGTGGACTCTTTGGTGAATGAAGAATTGGTTGAATGGTCACATCCAGGGAGTAATGGTCAGTGGCTCAATATCAAGATGGAGATCAGTGATGAGCAGTGTCCCTCAGGAGCTCATACTGAGCCCAGTGTTATTCCATGTTGGTGACATATACTCCAGGATCAAGTGTACCCTCAGCAAACTTAAAGATGACACTGAACTGAGTGGTGTGGTTGACACACCCAAGAGCTGGGATGCCATCCAGAGGGACTTGGACAAGTTGGAGAAGTGGGATCATGGGAATCTCATCAGGTTTAACAAGAACAAGTGAAAAGTCCTGCACCTGGGTTGGGGCAACCACCCACCAGTATCAACAAGGCCAGGAGATGGAGGAATTAAGGCAATAAATACGGGAGAAGGACTGATGGGCACTGGTGGATGAGACACTAGACAGGTGAAAAAGCCAAACGTGTCCTGGGTTGCATCAGAAGCAGCATGGCCAGCAGCTCAAAGGAGGTAATTCTCTCCCTCTACTGCATTTTGGTGAGACCTCCAGGTGGGCAAAGAGTACTGCATGCAGCTCTAGAGTCCTCAGTAAAAGAAAGACATAGACCTTTTGGAGTGAGTCCAGAGGGCCATCAAGATGATCAGGGGGCTATAATGCCAAACAGATTTTTAAGTTTTATACATTTTCCATATATTCACAGCTCTGTAGACTACTATTATATAGTTATATAGCTCCTTAACTAACTATAGTACTTTGCCTACCCCATTACTTAAATTTTAGAACAACAAGCTAACTTTCCTGGAATCTTATTTAGTCTTCCTCTACAGTGTGAACCAAGGACATCCTTATTTTCTATATATATTGTAGACAAAATAATTGTGGGGTTAGAAGCTAAGGGCAGCTTCACTGGGGGGCAGAACCAAAAGGGGGGAATCACTTAATTAATTGTTCTTCTAATTGGATGATTTCTGTTAATTATGCTAATTTGTTAAACTAATAAAATTGTCAGGATCCTGAACTGTGTGTGCATTTTGCCATATTTGCACCATGAAGGACCCTCATTAAAGGAAACCACTTTTTATCATCTTAATATTGTTTGGCTTCTGGCATCGGCTGGACCATCTCTCCTATGAACAGAGGCTGAGAGTTGGGGTTGTTCGGCCTGAAAAAGAAAAGGCTCTGGGCAGACATTGTTGTGGCCTTTCAATACTTAAAGGGAGCTTATAAGAAAGATGGGGACAGATTTTTTGTCAGTCTATTTTGATATGACAATGGGTAATGGTTTTAATCTGAAAGAGAGTAGCTTCAGACTAGATATAAGGAAGAAATTTTTTAGTTGTGAAGATGGTGAAACACTGGAATGAATTGCTAAGAAAAGC